GGGCGGGGGCCCCGTGCGGGAGCGGGCTCCGGGCCGAGGGCGGCCGGGGCCGAGGCTGGAGGGGGGCTGAGGCGGGAGGATTCTGCCCTCGGGGGACAGAGAGGAGCGTGAGGCGGAGTCACGCCTGGACTGCGGGCCGAGTCACGTCTGGACTGCGGGCCGAGGTGCCGTACCTTCGTTCTGAGGGCCCTGGGACCCGTGGAGAATTTTGAAGAAAGAGAGACATGGTGTACGCTAGGGCTTGAGAAAGCCTCCACAGTCTGTCCAATAGAACAGATTGTAGGGGGTGGTAGGGGGAGCTTGAGTCTTTTTCCAAGGACACACAGCACAGAGGTTGGCCAGTCTGCCCGAGGTTACCTGGCTCTGGTGCCCCTCAGGGACACAGGGAAGGCCTGAGCCCCTGGAAGGTCGCCATGGTCACATCCCTCGAAGACCGGCCTCTTCCCACAGGTTTCCATGGTTGCAGAAGTGCTTTTGGAACCTACACAGGTGAGTGGAGGTGTACCAGTCCCTCACTGGTCCCGTCCCACATTTTGTCCAGATTTGGGGTGTCCTGAGACTCTTCACCTGCCATTCTCCCAGCCCTTGAGTTTGGGGGCCCTGAAGAATCCTAGCTGAGGGTCGAGTCTAGGCCAGGGTTTATATGGAGGGATTCTCATTTGGGGCCATCAAAGGAAAGAGATGTGGAAGCTTATTACAAAAACAGGTGTTGGTATGTGGAACTGCTTGGAGGTGAGGCTAAGCTCATTCAGGTAATGGCGGGCCTCCTTTCTTTCTGGTGAGAACAAACTGGGGCAGTGCGCCAGAGTCAAGCTCAGAATGACTGTGAAGTTAGGCATCCATCTGGAGGCAAGGGAAGGTCTGGATCGGAGGAAGAATGTGATTTTTTAAAAATTTGATTCATTTATTTGAGAGAGAGAGTGTGAGAGAGAGCATGAGGCGGGGGGGGCGGAGGGCAGAGGGAGAGGAAGAAGCAGGCTCCCCACTGAGCGGGGAGCCCAAAGCAGGACTGCATCCCAGAACCCTGAGATCTTGACCTGAGCCAAAGGCAGACACTTAACCAACTGAGCCACCCATGTGCCCTAGAAGATGATTTTATCTAGGTCTTAACACACTCCATCTGGTTGCAGAGTGGGGCACAGAGTGAACACAGCGATTAATGGGAGTATAAGGAAAGTGCAGACACCAGTGACACCAGAGTCTGGTATCTCCTCTGATTTGGGGATCTTGGGAGGAGGAGGGACATGGGGTAGATGTGTGGGGATATGGATTATGGGTCTTCAGGAGTGAGGCTCTTCGTGGTTTCATCTTTCTTTATCCTGGCAGGGAAGTGTGACTTTTGAGGACGTGGCCCTATATTTCTCCTGGGAGGAATGGGATCTCCTAGATGAGGCTCAGAGATGCCTGTACCATGATGTGATGCTGGAGAACTTTGCACTCACATCCTCATTAGGTAAGGCCCTCACACCTACCCCTGTGCCCTGGGCGAGGCTCTGCCTTTCTCTTTTCTGTAGGGGCAGCTCTGTCTCACATCAGAACGATGGATACTGTTGCCTTCCCCAATTCCCTGGGTAGGTGCTGTGGTTTCTAGAGCTGTACTGAGTGCATGCCTACTGCTCTTCCTTTATTGCCACAACACCTGCTGTTTCAAACCCTCACAGGAAAGGATTCAGGATCAGTAGCCTTAATGTCAGCCTAATGGATCTTCCCCATTGAATGGTCTAGACTAGAGTCTTGGCCTCCTTGTAGAAAATCATTTGACCATATATGCAAGAGTTTATTTCTGGAGTGTTTATTCTATTGCATTGGTCTATATTTGTCTTTATGATATTATCACAGTGTTTTGGAGTAAAATTTTAAATTAAGAAGTGTGACTCCTTCAACTTTAGTCTTTTTCAAGATTGTTCTGTTTGGTGTCCTTGAGATTCCATGTGAATTTTTCTTTTTTTTTTTTTTAAAGATTTTATTTATTTATTTGACAGAGAGAGAGAACACAAGCAGGGGGAGTGGGAGAGGGAGCAGGCTTCCCACAGAGCAGGGAGCTCGATGCGGGGCTCTATTGCAGGACCCTGGGATCATGACCCAAACCAAAGGCAGACGATCAACAACTAAGCCAGACAGGTGCCCCTCCATGTGAATTTTTCTATTACTACAAAAAATTTCGGATTTTGATAGGGATTGTATTGAATCTGTAGATGGTTTGGGGTAGTGCTGATATCTTAACAGTATTAAATCTTTCAATCCGGGCGCCTGGGTGGCTCAGTTGGTTAAGCGACTGCCTTCGGCTCAGGTCATGATCCTGGAGTCCCAGGATCGAGTCCCACATCGGGCTCCC